CCGACAGCATGCACTGTAACAATCATGTTGTTGTGACGCCTTGAATTTGCATAAAGTCTTCAAACATTACCGATGCGTGAAAAGTCACGCTTTTGTCATGCATGCATGTAGTCCTGTGCTTGTTTTCGCCGACTGAGAAAGTTGCTTGTTTCAAAATTTGGGTTACACTTGGAAGCTACTTTCCAGTAAATATGTGTTTTTATAACCTTTTTTCCGGACAGAAAAGCCATTTCAAATAAGCTCATTTCGCGCCGCTATCAAACCGCGGGTCCGGGACTCCGGGACACATCGTCATAAGAATTGTAAACAGTAAAATTTCCTCCATGTCGCCGAAAATCAAAACAAAGTGAACCCAGTATCTAATTCAGAATCAACCGATAAAAAATGTACTGTTACTGATGAAAATAATTCTAAACCAACAAAAAGGCCTTATCTCTGTCTCAATCTGTAAAGTTATCTTGAGACTGACTTTCGATTCACAGGTTGCTTAGCACGTGACCAAAATCTTCCCACTGTCAGTGATAAAATCTACCGACTGATTTATTCGCGAACGAAACCTCTCCAAGGACGACTTCAACAGCGTTTAAACTTTATATGGCTTACACTTTAGAACTTATAATATTAGTCACATCATAAGAAACTTCCAAGATCTCTTGTGTAACGGCAGCCGTGTACGTAGTAAGGTCGACGATTTGTTTGTTCCCTTACCAAACTGACATATATGTTACATGTCTGTAAACATCTGTAACATATCTGTGACAGTACTGCAGTCATCTGCAGTGGGTTTTCCCTTATCTGTAAAAAATCTGTAAATAATCTACAGATATTTTGCAGATATGTAAGAGTTCTCTCAAAATATCTGTGAACTGTCTGTACTACCTGCAGAAATTTTACACACTGCATGCATGCATACACATGTAATAATCTTCAAGTGCAGATTGATAGTTGTCTAAAATTTAACATGTTCTCCATAAAGGGCTCATTAGAATAACTACAAACTAACTACAATTTTACAACTTAATCCTGGAAATCAGTTCCCATCTAACCATACATAATTATGTGTTATTTGCTGGCTGGGAGGTCCGTATACTGAAAAAATGTGACTGAGGTCTTGAAAATGCTGCCCGAGGCGGCAGGCCAAGGGTAGCATTTTTAAGCCCAAGGTCTCGATTTTTCACTATACGGAATGACCCTAAGCCGGCAAATAACATGTTTATTTCTTTTTTTCCTGCAGTAAATTGGTTTTACATATTACAAATGGGTTTGTTTACACTCACAAATTTATCATTGAATCAGCTTGCGCACCGTCTACTAACGATTTGTAAAAAATCTTCGCAACGAGCGAATAACTCAGATACTAGGCAAAGATGTATTAAAGAACAGATATTTTTCGAACTACCTTATGTCAGTTGCATTTATTTTACCAGTTAAGTTCTCCAAAATTGCTTTTCTAGTGTGAAATTTGGTGCGAAGTATGAAGTTTTACTACAAAAACAATTTCTGTCAGTCTTTGCTGTTAAAATCATTTGAAATCAGAATTTTCTACCGTAAATTGAATAGCAGAAAGC